GGACTTGTCTGTCTTGACTCGGGACTTGACTCGGGACTTGACTTGGGACTTGTCTGTCTTGACTCGGGACTTGACTCGGGACTTGACTTGGGACTTGTCTGTCTTGACTCGGGACTTGACTCGGGACTTGACTTGGGACTTGTCTGTCTTGACTCGGGACTTGACTCGAGAATTGAATGCAAAGACTCGAGACTTACTTGTGACTTGCAAAACAATGACTTGGTCCCACCTCTGCAAAATAGTAAGACACACTTTCCATGAACAGGGTGTGCAAAAGGCCTTAAAGAAAAAAAAAAAGTTAAATTAAATTAAGCAAATTAATTTTGCTTCCAAATTGTAAACTCTGTTATAATAATTTAAAATGTTTGGGAACAGTTTAAAATCCTGATTTGTTATATCCTAGCAATATGCATTAAATAATTTTGTATAAAAATTATTTATTTGTTGATTGATTGAAGACAGTTACACAGTTCATTATGATATGACTAATCTGGGACTAAATATTGTATATTATCTATAAATTAAGGACCTTTTTTTTTTTGTCTCAATCAAGAAATGTTGAATATGGTTGCATGGTTCAGCTTGGCGAACTCAGTCAACACTGCAATCCATGTGAAAATTGAGAAAATAAGATAAGGTCCAAATGAGACAGACATTGATGTAGTTAAATCATCTACTTGTTTTATGTTTGGTAATAATTCATATCTACATATCTAATAGTTCCTACTCCAAAGAACAAGAGATTTTTGCTTTTTGTTGCTTTTGTAAACAGTACAAAGAGAAAGTGCCAAAACATTCTCATCGTAACATTCTCATCTCATCGAGAAATTAAAAAAAAATGCTATTGAGTCTAAATGTTAGCATTTGATGTTTGTGTAATTCTAGAGTCTCTCTGTATGGAGGTGTTTTCTCGAGTGACGTTTGTGATCCCTAAAAACGGCCCGTTCCTGGAGAGGCGCACCACAGAACAAAGGCGTTCTTGGACGGCTTTGTCGTGAGCTAAATTGATCTGTCAGTCTGTATTGTTGTATCTTTCGGGGCCGTGGTTGATGGAGCTGATGGGGCACTCTACCTTTTCCAGCTTTCCCCCGCTCTGCTCTCCTCAGCGCTCATCACTTTCACTCTCCATGTGACTCGGTGTAGTGGGTGGTTTGTGCAAATAGGATACAGATTGTTTCTTATTAAATCTAAAAGCAATAAAGGGACAAATTGTGTGCACTTTAGAGTGAGAACTGTTTCTTACTGTACACTGCAGATACACTGTTATCAAACATAATTGTAGAAAAACGCATGAAACATTTCAAATTGTGAACATTTTAAACATTTACTTAATTACTATTAATAGTAATATTAAAAACGGAATATTAGCAACATTATTGTAAAGGAAAGTAAAATAATCGTGAGAAATAATAGGAATTTTACGTTTTTCCAGTTACTTCAAACCAACATTTGGTCCCAAACTAATTATCCCCTAAGGAGCAATAGCTTAATTAAAAATAAGTGGACAGTCATGTTACTTGCAAGCCTGCTACCCATTTTTATTTTGTTTTATTTTATTTTATTTTATTTTATTTTATTTTTTAAATGTTTATTATAATAAAATAACATTCATACAAATCAGCAATTTGAACTGTTAAAAATAATTTTAAGAATTTAAAAAGCCTCATAAAATATATACAAAATTTAAAATTGGTCATATATACAATATTAGGGCTGAAACGATTCCTCGAATACCTCGAGTAACTCGAATACAAAAAATCATCGAGGCAAATTATTATTTATTTTTTGATTTATATACAAATTATTTGCCTCGAGGCTTCGTTTAGTCCATTTACTGTGACTACACACGAAACACAGTGTTTCCCCACCAAGGTTATTATAGTTTTGAATTTTTTAATTAGTTTTATTTTAATATCGTTTTCAAATTTGCTATACAATTCAGTTTAGTTTTTATTAGTTTCATTAATATTGTTGTTAGTTTTAGTTTAGTTTTTATTTTGTGAACACATTTTTATTTAGTTTTTATATAGTTTAGTTTCAGTTTTAGTTTCAGTTTTAATGAAAGTTTAGCAGAATTAACAGATCACTTCCAGGGCGCAGGCCAAAGAAAGACTTAGCCATAATTTAACCTTAGTGATGCAAATGTCTAGCGACACAAAATTAGCGCATGCTGAGATTGATTATAAATGGTTAAATTATACAAATATTGTCATGATCTCTAGCTGGAGTGCCCGTGAGCTTCGCTAGAGGGCACCCCATCCCGGA